GCGTTGGTTGCTGACGGTCGGTGGTAGTCGACGACGATCGACGATGACAAAGATGATGTTGGACTTGAACTCCTTCTCAAATCCTCAAGTTCTCTCTCAAGCCTCCTCCATGTGAGGGGTGAGGCTCTATTTGTAGTGTTTTGGGTGCAATTAATGCAAAAATATGAACCATTTTTATCGGACAGTCCAGAGAGCTTCCCTCGATTAGAAGATGTTTGATGGACATTTGAGTGCCTTAACGATGTCAGAATTGAGCAATCTTGGGATCGTTGGATTTGTCTTGTCGAGACGCTCGATTCGATTATGAACTCGTTAGATTCGACATCTATTTGACCTTTCAAATGTCTCCAGAAATCATCCAAGTGTGGTTTAATGATTTGATCCAGGCTTGATCTGACTCGGATTGAACTAACTTTGATATCATTAGGTCCGTCTCATCGAGTGGGTCAGTTTGACTATAAGATTGCTGAAATCGAAGCTTTGGATGACTTTTTATCAAGGTTTTAATGTTTCTTGTTCAAGATATTGCCTCGAAATTCATGTCGGATGATGAAAATTTGTTGTTGGCGAATCAATATTAAAGAAACTCTTAAAGTATTCTATAAACAATAGACCAATTTTTATATTTTACACATTTTAAAAAAATTTCCAATTTTTATAAAATTCAACATTATCAAAGCCAAATTAGGGTATAAAAAAATCTTAAAATAATTAGATTAGCTTTTAGTGAAATATAATTTTCAATTGATTTATTATATATTGTATTCATCTCAAAATAAATCCAACAATTTTGAAATTCAGTTCACTCTTTTTTTTTTTTTAAAGTTTTAAGTTTATAGATATTTACAATACTATCACTTGCTGAAATCGAAGCTTTGGATGACTTTTTGTCAAGGTTTTAATGTTTCTTATTCAAAATATTGCCTCGAAATTCATGTCAGATGATGAAAATTTGTTGTTGGCGAATCAGTATTAAAGAAACTCTTAAAGTATTCTATAAACAATAGACCAATTTTTATATTTTACACATTTTAAAAAAATTTCCAATTTTTATAAAATTCAACATTATCAAAGCCAAATTAGGGTATAAAAAAATCTTAAAATAATTAGATTAGCTTTTAAGTTTAGTGAAATATAATTTCCAATTGATTTATTATATATTGTATTCATCTCAAAATAAATCCAACAATTTTGAAATTCAGTTCACTATTTTTTTTAAAAAAGTTTTAAGTTTATAGATATTTACAATACTATCATTACTTGTATTTTTAAATTTTATAATTCATTAACTTAGATAATTTGTACCAATTACACTAATATGCAGCGATTTGTTAATCTGATGTTCAAAAAGATGTTGTGACTATTATAAATTATTATTTTTTTAAAGGTCGGAAAATCGATGAGAAAACATAGATTTCATCTCAAATTTTTTTAAAAAAAGATTTACCTAAAAAAATAAAACTAAGATGCGGCGCCGCATGGCGGCCACACTACAACCCCAAATGGATCCTTATGATTAGCACCAAAATTTTTTTTATTAATTTATATAGCAATGGGTTATTTAAGTGATATCAAAATACATGATGATAAAATAGATAATACATTCTAATGAAATCATTTAGACATGCAAATATTATAATATTTTATAAGTAAAAAATACTAAGTATTTGTTGTGTAAATAGACAAAAAAACAATAATTTTTATGCAATTATCCATTATACTATTCAATCACATAAGCAAGGCCGCACACATAATTTAATCAATTTATTAAATTAATAAAAGTCTTTCCATCCCCCCCAGAGAGAAAACTCTTTTAGGAGATGAAGAGCTCTTGCTTCTGTTGCATCTTTCCCTCCAGCGGACAATCTCTGCGGTACAATTTCATCCGAGTGGTTCACATCAACGGCCACGTCGAATTCTTCTCGCCGCCGGCCACAGCTCAACGAGTCATCAGAAAACGGCCCAAAGGATATGCGGTCTGGACCGCAGCCCGGCTTTTATCGACCGCTCCGCTTCCGCTCCGCGCGACGGAACGGCTTGAACCGGACAACGTGTATTTCGTTCTCCCTGATGCCGTGGTGTTCGACTCGGAGACATCTCCGACAAGCCTCATCGTGCTTGTGAGGCGGCTCAAAGCGATGGCTGACCGGTCCAGATCGCCGGAGAGTGAACCGAACCCGGTTGACAATGAACCGGGCCGGTGGACGGCTTCGGTGGTCCGACCGGCTATGTGGAGGCCGGAGCTAGAGACGATTGAGGAGCTCCGGTCTAATGGCTACTCCAGTATTAGCAGCAGTTGCGTTAAGGAGCCAATTGGAAATCAGGCTTGGGATAATAGGGTCTAAGCAATAAACCAAACCTTTTTTTTTCTTTTTTATAACTTTGTAAGTTTATTTGTTTTTAATTGTGAATTCTGAAAATTTTAGGTGCTAATGTACTATACGTACATACATACATGTATGTATATATATGTATGTATGTATGTATAGCACGCACATTAGCACCTAATTATCTCATATCAGAATTTTCATAATTACAAACATCATATGAAAAGTAGCACTCATTATCACATCTTAATAGCCACTTAATAGCCAATCCATCTCTTCATTCATGATTAAAGTATTACATGTGTAAAAATGAAAGTTTAGGTGTGAGATAGTTGAATCCATCAAAATTGGGTTTTCAATTAATTATCACATCATAGAAGCTATGTATGTAATTTTCCGCAGAAAAAAAAAAAACTTTGATTTTATTACTTTGAATGGAAGTAGAATTTAGTTTTTTTTTTTTCGATTAATTTGGTTATGTTTTTTATGAAAAATTTTTGTACATACTACTTAATTTCTGTGAAATAATAATAAAAAAAAACTTTGATTTTCCCGTGATAAAATCGACACCCTCTGCTCTAGGTCAAATGTTGAAGATACGAACGTTAATGAATCCCAGGGCGAGTTTGCCAATAGTGATCGCTCAGTCAGCCTGGTTTGATTGTCTCGACCGCTCTCATGAGCTCTTTGCAGAGGGTCTCCCTTAATCATACTTCATTTTTCTGGGTCATTGAATTTATCTGAGATCATTACTGACACCTTTTTTTTTATGTACAAGTAACGAGCGAGAGAAAGAGATTCATTGATTTTAATATTTTATCAAACCCTAAAAAGAAAGATGCACACTACTATTTGAATTGATTCGATTGATCAAGTATTTACGGTAACAAGTTGCTACAATATGGTCAATTAATATTATTGTATGTAATTGATTTAAACCCTAAAAATAAATTAGTAAACTTGATTTTAACTTCTTTCTATAAATAGGAGTTTACTAACCTACTATTGAAGCACCTACACATGCAACTATGCCGATTAATCGAGGTTTATTTTAATTTAAAATTTCAACTTTGATAAAAAAAAGAAAAATTAAAAGTTAAAAAGGTTTGGATTGATTCAATTTTGTTCAATTTGATTGGGCTCTACATAAACTCCAAAAATGCATTTCATGAAATTTAAACAATTTTTTTTACCCTAACGAGTCAAATTATTAAGTATTTAATTTTCATTTGGTTTTGATAAATTCCACATGCTAAGATATAAGATAAGCATAGAAAAAGCTCATCAGTATTATGATTTAATTTGATTTATTTATTTATAAAATTTATTTTGTTCCTATTATCATTCCGTCTCTTAAATTGCCATGTGGCATTAAGACAAATGAAGAAGCAAGTTATATTGCAATAAGAAATGTTATACTCTTCAAACAACATTATATATTTGTAAATATATTTAAATTCAAATCAAATTAATTCTTTATTAAGTACATAAATGAAAAAATTGGCATAAAAATGTTATTTTATACGCTCCAAATCATTAACAAACAGAAAATTTGTTTTTTGTAAAGCCATATGGAACTTAGACTTGAATACAAATGACATCAATTTTAATTAGGTGTGAAAGTTTGAGGTTAGATATGCAAATACAAAAGAATTAGCTGGTACGTATGATGGGATATTCAGGCATGCCACAAAATTTGTAAGTATAGCATATAAAGTTTTATATGTGCGTGTGTGCTTAAGGTGTCAACAAGCTGATCTATCACTTGTAGTGATGACAACCATCTTAATATACCAACATGCACCCAGACATTTTTGGGGCACTTACAAACAAATCACACGATTCATATGTATTTACATATCTAACGTCTAAACATTCATATTTAAATGCATACCACTCAAATTTATAACATTACGACCGTAGCACTATCTTTCTAAAAGTGAAATACACATTATCATTCATATATATATATATATATATATGTACAAATTGAATGGTACAAATGTGAATATCCCAATGTTTAAAAAAAGAGACTAGCTGCTCTTTCTCCAGTGATGTGATGTCTATAAAAATGCTGCTATCTTTAAGAATACATGTTATCGGCCACAACAAAAAAACATACTTATAGTCACTCCCGGTTATGGGCAGCTCGTCTATGAAAATGCTCTCCGAAAGTTCAATGATGTTTTGCGATCGTGGCAAATGTCCGGCGGCCCTTTTTTACTCTTTTTCTTTTTTTTTGAAAGATTTTCATACAAACCAGTCATCTCTTATGTATTTAAGACATCTAACTGCTAAACTTAACTTTAATTTTTACATATATGCCACTCATTTCTCATTTGATATGAAATGTTTAGGTGTTATAAATATAAGAAACAAAATTGATGTGTTAGAGATGTAAAAGCATAAAAATTGGGTTGTATGTAAATGCCGCTTTGAGCATTTGAAATATACCTTCTCTTGGATAGGTAAGGTGGTATGTATGTAAAAATTGAAGGAATGCCGCTTTGAGCATTTGAAATATATCTTCTCTTGGATAGGTAAGGTGGTATGTACGTAAAAATTGAAGCTTAGGTCAATTGAATGGCATGTATGTCAGTTTCCCCCCCTCCCAAAAAAAAAATAAACGCAAGATTTTGGAACTCAAGATCAAATTTCGAAGATCAAATCTCTTTTATATCAAATTTATTCTTCAACACTCCATATTAAATAAGAAAATCCTACGAAAAAGTTCCCTAAAACTCAATATTTCATCACTAACTACCAGAAAGGAGCTAGAAATCCGTCATGAAGTAGCCGTTATAAACTGCTTTCTCATTCAAATACTCAAGAGAAGAAAGAAATTCAACTCATTGAGTTCAGCTCTTACCAGTCTCTCCTTGATCCTGTGCTTCTTCTTCCTCATCTATTGGTTCGCCAGCAACCTCAGAATCCTTCGAGGGCAGGAAGCGGCCGGTCATCGGATCAATAGGACGATTGTCACGGGGACCACCTTTGCGCGAAATTGAGAGCATTGGTGGTGGAGGTAGAAGGCCTGCTCTGAAGAGGATCCTCTGAACAGGATCCGATGGCTGAGCTCCAACCGATAACCAGTACCTGCACAAAAATGAAATTTATGCATGTGTTTATACCGCCAAAGAGTTATGAATGTAAATATCAAATTTTAGGTGTTAGATATGTAAACCCTCAAGAATTATGTGGTTTGTATGTAAATTTCAGAATGATAAAAACCATTTGTTCATTCAACAAAGATATGAAAGTTTTGGGATACATATCTATTGTTGAATGAAGATAAGATAATAGGAAACATTTTTTGAAAAACATAACATCAGGAGCAATTGAATGTTTTGATATTAAACAACATTTGTTGTGTTGTAATTAAATAAGGAAGAATTACATACATACCAGTCAATTCCCATGCATTTGCATATCTAACACTTAAACTTCAATTTTAGATATATGCCACTTTACCCATGCAAAAAAGGTGTATTTTACTTTTTTTAAGTTATAATAATGGTATTTTTAATGTGATATAAAAGATTTTGGTGGGAGAAATGTAAAAAAGTAAAGTATAGTTGTGAGATATGTAAATACGTAGGAATTGGGTGGTATTTGTGTAAATGCTCACTTCTATGCTTAATTTATAAATTTAGAAAGTGATTCTCTAAGAGTTTGTTTGGGGCAACTGTAATTTACGAAAAAGTTACTGTGCGACAGCTGTACCAGAAAGTTACTGCAGGGATGTTGTGTGTTTGTTTGCTTAATGTAGTTTTGCAACAATTATGCTGCAGTTGTTTATAAAAAATAACATTTCTGTCCCTATAGTACAATGTTGTTTATAACAAAATCATTATTGATTGCACATTTCATAAATGACAGCAGATATTCAGTTTGAATATTACCAACACCGCCATCTGTCACCAAAGAACCATCACCAACAAATTGCCACCAAAACCACCGCCATGTCACCAAAAAACCATTACCAATACCACTATCACCAACAAACCACAAACACCACTATTATGTCACCAAAAAATCACCATCAACAAACTGTCAACACCACCACAACCATATCACCAAAAAATCATCACCACCACCACCACCACCACAACCACCACGACCATCATCACCAACATCACCACCACCATATCACAAAAAAAGCACTACCAGCATCTACTTTATAATTTTTTTCAAAACATTTCATATTTTCACTGCAAAGGCATAATTCATCATAAAATCTCAATCCATATTCAAAGCATACACAACACTCAAAATGTTGCCTTTAAAAAATCCAGCTCTAGCTCAAGACAAAATTCATCATAAAATCTCAATCCAACTCTCTCCAGGTCGGGTCTCATTCAAATATCAAAATGCTTGATAAAATCCCAACCCATATTCAAATCGCAAAAGATTAACAACAGCACAGAGCAAAGACAGTAGAGCAAAATCGCAAAAGCTTCAAGTGTTAGGTATGTAAATATCCCAGAACGAAAGATGCAAGTGCAAACCACAAATCGATTAGAGCAAGGATCAAAAACAACACAAAAAATGATAGAGAATACCAAAATTCAAAATCCCATTTTCGTTCTACTCAAATATCAATTTCACAGTAGAGCAAAGCTACAATTCACACAGAGAAATCCACACATTCCAAACCAACCTCAAATTTCAAAGAAAAATGATAAAGGATATCGTAGGAGAGAAAAGGGTTGAGCACTTCTTACAACAAAGACAGAAGAGAATAGATAGCCTTGGGGCAGAGATGCGAGAGAGGCAACAGAGACGTGAGAGAGAAGACGCGAGGCGCGAAGGAGCTAGGGCAGAGAGGGGAAAAATAACGAACGCGTTTATTGGCGCAACGATGAATATGCTGTCGCAACACATTTTCCAAACACTATATTCCGTGGTTTCAAAACTCACCGTGCTTATAAAGTCGCGCCAAACGGAGCCTAATTGTTAAATTTGGTAAGTTTTGCATTGAGAATGCATGCTTAACAAAACAATGAGTTTCACTAAGAGTCTACCATTTGATTAGAATGGATGTAATTAGAAACCAAACAAAATTTCAAATTCTACCTCTAAAAATAAGGAATTCATTTCACACACTAAGATTACAAGAAAAAAAAAATGCTGAAGCACAGGTCTAACAGCGTCAAATCCGACCAGTCTCATATTTCAGCTTACTAAGCACAATAACTTTCCAATTCGCCCAAAAAAAAAAAAAAAGAAACATCTACATACATATCACTCAATTCTAATGCATTTACGTATCTAAACCTAACACTTTTATTTTACATGTATGCCTCTTGAAAAGGTGCATTTCACTTTTTAAAACTTTTGATGTGATATGAAAGATTTGGGCTGCATAAATGTAAAAAATAAAGTTTAGGTGTTAGATATATGTAAATACATAGGAATTGTATGGTATGTATGTAATAAATTCCCCAAAGAGAATAAAAGAAATCCAGTAAAAAAGAATCCACGTAGGCTTTGCAGATCCAAGAGATAATATATTCGTCGAGCCTAATAAGCCTTGAGCACACAATTAATTGTACTATAAGCTAGGCCACAACTGCACCTCATTGCCATCAAGTGGCTTCCTTCATAAAGCACATGGGACAGCACTGGCAAAATGTTCCTCTAAAAAGGACTAAAGCTTACATAAGAAAGATTTCTGAATCACATTTATGTTAGTAAGGAAAGAGACTTCAAAAATTGGTTGATTTTCCATTTTTGTGATATGTTGTTAAGAAGAGGGATAAATTTGGGTTTAAGACATGCTTTAAGCATCAATCAGCTGTTTCAAAAATGACTCATGATTATGTGCTTGAATTTATCAATTATCTTGCAAAACAAATACATCTTGTTGCAGTTAAATAAATTTTAGGGGTATTTACATACATACCATACAGTTCTTCTGTATTTACATATCTGACGCCCAAACTTAAATATTTAAATGCATATCACTCAAAACGTTAATATCACATAAAAATACCGGTGTAACTTACTTCAAAAAACTTACATACACATTTTCATGCATAGGTTAGCACACCCAAGTGTTATAAATGTATATATAAAAGTTTAGGTGTAAGAGATGTAAATATAATAGAATTGAGAGGTAGGTATGTAAATTTCTCTAAATTTTATGACAAAACATACTGAGTCAACCATGATTTCAAGAGAAAGGAAGCAGCTACTGTGACAATGACGACAATGATGAATTCAAATTATTTTAAGTATTAGCGTGTTTGGCAAATTGTTTTATCATAAATCCTCCCACCATCATTGACTTTATATCAACTATTTGGAGTCATCGTTTTCACTCCAACTATTTCATTGATATAATTATTCATTAATTTTACATTCTCATTTTCACCATTGCAAGTATAAATTAATAACAACAGTCATTTGGATGAATTACATTGCATTCAAAGGAAATTAAATATAACCCAAAACAGTAAAGGCATGCTAATGTTGGAAGTTGGTTTTGTTCAATTTAAAGCTTAAAATGCAATACAGCTATGTATACGGATGATTTACATGCATAACACTCAATTCCAATGTATTTGCATATCTAATACCTATACTTCAATTTTTACATACATTACACCTTACTTGTACATGAAAAGGTGTATTTCATCTTTTAAAAGTTATCTGTTGTATTTTTGATGTGATATGAAAGATTTGGTTGGTATAAATGTAAAAAGTAAATTTTAGGTGTTAGACATGTAAATACATAGGAATAGGAATTGGGTAGTATGTATGTAAATGCCTCTATGTTTAAATGAAATAGCGTGAAGTTATTTAGGTGGGATGTTTTGTGGAATTGAAAGAGGTGTAGCAGCTTGCAAGAAGATAACCAAATAGATATATCTTGGCAAGGGCTCGACCAAGGGACATTTTGAAAGGATTTTGGTTGTGAACAAGAGTAGAGAGAGAGGGAACGCTCGAGATGCACATGAAAGTAGATAATTAGTTTCTAAAATCTCTAGACTTAACAAAACTTCTCTTCTTCCTCTCATGTAAGAAACACTTGACACCACTTTTTTCTCTTTTGAGGTACTTCAGTTCCTTCTTCTAGTTCTCTTCTTACTTCTTGCTTCTGGATAACTTTTAAGAGTTTTTTTTTTTTTTTTTTTCATTTTTTGCTTCTTTAAAGCTGCTGGGACGGCTGTACCATTGCACTTTGTTGTAAGAAGATGGTTTAATAGTTTTTGATATATGCTAACCACCTTTTTGGCTTTGCCGTGTTGTCGCCCTTAAAATCCTTCGCATGTGGAATAAACATATGTACTTGATATCTCTTTTGCGCTTTACAAACACATTCTTTTTTCTCTCCTTAAATACATTACATCAACATCTCATAAAAATATAGGTCCAAGGGCACCAAGGGTACTACATAGATGCAACTTCATCTATCAATTGCTCAACGATGACAAGGGTACTACATAGATGCAACTTCATCTATCAATTGCTCAACGATGACAATTGTTATAGTATATCATTTAATTATTTCAAAATCTACAATGTTTTCTAGTCCATTCAAATAATATAAAATTTCAGATGGATGTTCGATCTTTAAGAACTCCGCTCCACTTTTGTTTAGCAATTATAATAATAGTTCTACCAATTCCTCAATATTTATAATAAGAATTTTTTTGGGCATGATCACATCTTGCTTTTTACACCAGGGATTGGCTTTAATCTTAAATCTTTTTGCTTTAGTTATGTATTCTCTTACTGGACATTTATAGAAGGATGCACCTTAGTATATGATTTTCGCTAATGATATCCTTCTTGTGGATAAGACTAGAGAAAAAGTTAAAAAAAAACTTGAATTATGGAGGTCTACATTAGAGTCTCAAAAATTTCGTTTGAATAGATCTAAAACTGAAGACATGAAATATAATTTTAGTAGTTGTAACTCTTGTGACAGAGTTGTAACTATGGGTGATCAAATAATTAAAATAAGTGATCGTTTTAGATATTTAGGGTATATTGTTCAGAGTGATGGAGATATAGATGGGGATGTTATTAGTAGAATTCAAGTTGGTTGGTTAATGTGGAGGAATGCATCAGGCCTATTGTGTAATAGA